AATCTGTAGTAATTTTCTGAAACCGCTGCAATCATTTTGACTAGCCCTGTATATATATATATATATATATGTGTGTGTGTGTGTGTGTGTGGAACTTAATATCCGCCCTGGAACTCAAGCGGTGAATTTTCTCACATGAAAATTTGTGCTGCGGCGCTCTTCGTATGTCTGCCCTTCTGTTCCCCAGAAAGGGCAAGGTGTACAACCGAATTTTACCTCAAATCATTAATACCTAATCCGAATAGGATTGTTATCGTTAATGAAGTAGCTGCGCAAAGCGGACTGGGGTTGTCTGAAATGCGACCTCAGAAATCACGAGATCCAATGTTTGGCCTAACTTAAATGCCATTTCAATAGAGGCTTCACTGGTGGAATATTTGCAAAGTATTCATAATCTATACTTGAGGTTGTTCTACATAGACTATGCAGAAATTGTATTCCCGGGATCGCCTTGTCCTTAAGTAATATCACCGAAGCGAAAACGTTGCGATGACTTTCGCATTCACGCATGGGAATTTTCAGTTCCTAAATGAAATGTGAGGATGTGCAAGACCAGGCGATGAGATCAAGGCGTACCCTAATGTTTCATCGAAATCGGCTGTCAAGGGATATATAGCTTGGCTCAATATTGGCACCCATATTGGACCGTTATTGGATTGCTACCGGGCCCCTTGTTGGGCCAATATTGGCGTTAATATTTTTTCTATCTTATTCATCCAATGGAGGTATTCCCATGGTGGATGCACTTTCATTTCCGGTACTACTACGGCCTGTACCAGTACAATCCCCTGCCCATGGACATGTCTGTCCCATGGATAAGCAAGAGAACAGTATTGAGGTTGATCTTCCCCTTAATGTACGAATTGTACTTCTTTAAATATAATTAAATATACTTATTAATTAAATAAATTAAATATAATTAAATATATAAAAATTCGGGGGAAGGTCCACTCCTAACTTTTCTACGGATTTTGAATTCAGTCCCTCCTTTCCTCATTGTGTTCTCAGGAAGAGGAAACGAAGGATTGAGCCCACCGATCCTTCCAAATTCTAATATTACTTTCTGATGAGATGATCCTAACGTCGTAAAGGGTTCTCATAGGGAAAATGAGTTTGTTTATGGCCTGGGCTCCGCGATTCTGTCTCGAATATGAGGATAAACAATGATGAAGTGCCCGAGTTTTTTTTATAGCTATAATGAGACTAGACGAGACTAAGCTAAAATAAGTACTAAATACTCCTGTGAGGGACCATTACAGGAAAAGAGGGATGGGTACTTATGTGTACTGTTCGAAAAGCAAGACCAGTACCTCCATTTAGTGGCCTGAAGGAGAACTTCAACATTTCCTAAAACCTTCATTGGATCATCCCGTCGGTCCAATATTGGATCGATCATGGAATGGCAATATTGGGGGAGCCAATATTTAGCAATAATTGGCAATATTGCCCAAGATGTAGGCAACGTACCCAATGTCGGTCGAGCATTGAGCCAATATCTGGTGCTAATGGGGTATTTCGGAGAGAACGAAGCCAGGAAGCCGTCAATTGAAAATTATTTTGGTCCAGTTCGAAACTGGGACTTCATGGGTGTCCGCCACATTAAAAAGAGACATACTTAATGTATTCAATTATATACATAATTTTGCAGAGTTGCGCATTGCATCCACAGATCCTTAAAGTGATGCGCGATCTGCGATATTAAATAAAATAATTTCGCTGATATTTCGAAGAATGGAATGAATATGGCGTGGTTAAATATCTGAAAACTGGCAGGAGAAAAAAAAATCCTCACCAGACGATATCATGTCATTATGGATATTACTGTATGGGTCGATATTTATCGCTATTGTCTTCTACAGAGGCCGACGCAGACGTGCTGGGTGGCGTACCAGGCGACACAGCCGAAACTCGCTGGTATCATCGCCAGTCGGGATATGGTCATCCTCTTCATCAATCGCTACGTCAACGGCTCCCACTTCGTTTCCACGAGCAGCACGGAGTGGCCGGGGATGGAGCCGAGGGAGGACAGAGTGAGGTAAGGAGGCTGCTTAGGGGTTAAATTGAGATTCGGGATGGTTTTGTGGAGGGGATGGTTGCTTTGAGTTCATGCGCTGATGTATTCGCGCTTCTTGACTCCCCGAATGCAAGGAGAGATTCTGCAATGGTGGAAGATTCCGGAATCTCTCTGATGGGGCAGACTCAGCCGGAGGGCGGGGAGTGTCCGAACTGGTCGGTCCCTCGAGAGACCAACGGAAGAGCTTGGAAAAACAATTTGAACTCGCACCTCGTTGATACTCAACGGGGTCTTCAAATGACGACGCAAATATTTCACGATTCGCTGGAATTTCACGATTGGATGAACAGTGAGAAGAACCGCATAGGGATGCAGCATAGGAATCCTATTGGACTGTTCAGGAATATTTAAGAATCCTATAGGACTACTGTAAGATTCCTGAGGGGATTCTATAGGTTTTTGAGAGATGATAAACGTGTCAGATTATTATTATTAGAATCCTTTATGAATCCTATAGGAAACCGATAGGAAACCTTTGGATTCTATACGTGTCCTATGGGATCCTTTAAAGATCCCATAGAATCACATATACGATACCTTTCAGATCCTTTAAGACACCTATTGGATCCTATAGGTTCCTATAGGTATCCCATAGGATACCTATAGGAACCTATATGAGAAACCTAATTCTATGAGAAACCTATAAATTTACGGAAGAAATCCTATTGGATTCATATTGGATCTTTCCGTTAGGGTACAAATAATGATTTCCGCAAAATTTATCTTTGATGAGAGTCATAATTTCCCACGTAAAAACTGCTTCAAGAATGTGTCGATTCTCTACAGGGTAAGTAGCTCTGGACATGGAAATCTATTTATTTTTTTTAAAGAATGGAAATGCGATCACTCAGATGAGGTTTCCTCGAAGTGAAAGGAAATCAAAAGAGAAACATCGATTCATCCCTGAAGAAAAGAATGCCGAAATAAAAAGTGAAATTTTTGGCTTAAATGCATAAGATTGGTGCGGGTAAAAGAGAAATATATTGATATATATTATGCGTTGCTTGTGCTATTCTACTTGCTTTTTAGGAAACACTTCAAAACGGCTGTCTGGTGTAAGATATCGTGAGTCCAAATTTATACAGGGGAATATATGAGTCCGGATATACAAATTATGAATAACACGTATTCGGGATTCACATATTCTGAGGGGAGAAAAAATGATGTTTTTGCGTCCAAACCAAAGACTGGCAGGTCAACTTTCATAAATGCTCATTCAAAAAAAAGCAGCAAAGTGCCGATTTAAAAGAAATTTACCGAATTGTTTCGTTGGCCTTTCGGACAGCAGAGAGTTTCAGACATCCCAGATATTATTTGCATTTGAAATTCACCGTGGGATTTGCACAAAACAGGGCGACGATGCACCAAGGAGGCGGAATGTCGCTATCGCCGGACCCGGCGAGGAACCGGACCAGGCTGCGCTGGGTCAGCACCATCGACTTCAACATCCCCCTCCTCACGAAGATCGTCTCGCCGTCGATCCTCAAGATGATCTACGTGGAGGGAGTCCGGAACTACATCACGGACATGAGGAATAACCTAATCGCCAGGCGCGAAATTCTCGCCCCGCGAGACTGAAGTTCGGATGTGAAATTCTGAGAAATGCCATTTTCTGCTGGGGTGGACTTTTGGGGGGGAAATTTTGTTGCTTCGTCGGAGGCAAACCATAGGAGTGGTTCATGCAGTTTGTTAATAAAATTTTTTGTCAAAAATGGTGCTTCCGCTGAAAATGTCATTTCGATGGGAAAATCTCTAAAGGTCGATATTCCACTTCAACTTTGCCTCTAATAGTGAACCATAGTGAAATAGTGAAATCGACCAAGATTCAGTCCGAATCTTGAGCGGTGTATGTGTTTGAAGGCGTATGGAAGGAGAATAACAGCTTCATTCATGGACGTTCCTTGTGATAAAAATGGCATGAAAGAAATGGCAAGCGTATGTCCTGGGTTTGATGAGGCGGCACCTTTCGCCGGCGGTTGGGAATATCGGGTTCGATTCTCGGAAATATTTTGTTTTTTTCTTAATTCGTTCCCCACCGTTTCCCGGTTGTTCTGCCGGGCGTTCTAGTAGCGTTTTCTTCGCCGCTCCTTTTCATAAGCCGCTATATTAATATCCATATTTCTCATCTGCAGATGATATTCTTTGTAGAATTTATGCGCATGCTGATCCTTATCGAAGTTATTCCAAGACAGAATTTCACATGGCGAATCCCAAAGGAAAGTGAAATCAGCTGTCGTGTGAGGTGATCAAAGTCTTCACAAAATGACCATCACATGCGAGATTTAAATAGGGAAACTTTCCAACTGGGACTAGTAAAGGTCCTCCAACACCCAACAAATTTGTCAGAGAAATTCAGAACTCCAGTGCCTGTCCTGGTCGATCGACTCGCATTGACTTTTATGAACAGGCAACAAAGTTTCTTCATACCAATGATTTCGGTCTACTGATGGCAGTTGACTGTGTGGCGAAGTACTTTTTTGCAGGAAGCATAAATTTCGATCCATCATTGATGAGCTTCAGAAATCATTCAAGGCATTATTTGACTGGAGCATCATTAAATTGAAGGAGTCATGGCTTCATTCATACGTTCATTAACTCATGGAAAAATTGCACTACCGAGAAACTGAGATTTTCGGGATACATAGTGTGAGCAATGGGATATCTGGTTGTGCATCTTTTCCGCGAATAACGAAATTTTGTGCCGACGAGAAATTGAAGGTTGGAGCTGCAATCTCTATTTTCTTTCAACTCTGCTCGGGAACTAAAGCTTGCAAGCAAGATTATATATTTTACCGGAGAAGGGTGTTGACGCGACTGATTTGCTGACCGACTGCAATTTTTCTAAAGGACCTCAATTTCACTAATCCACGGATTCTGAACAAAAAAAAATTCTGATCAATTCAGGTGAGACTCAATCGAATGTCTTTTCCAGAAGATCCAGTGCGAGGGGGGTGCATTAAGTTGCAGTTCAGGCAAATTTCAGGCAGTTGATAACAGTTGCAAGCAGAGCTCCAAACGTGGTCATCAAGGTCTAGAAACTCAAAACGGGAAAATATCTTCAATCAAGACATCCTTTTTCAAATTAACACGCCCAGAAGAACTAATCACTGAATCATTTTGCACTCTCTCCATTTGAAAACAGAATTCGTAAGAATTTCATTAAGGTATTTTTTTTTACACATGATGATGTGATGATATATATATAAGTGAATTGCTTCCATTGTGTGTCACACGATTGTAGTTGCAATCTGAAAGTTATGAGAAAATTATGGTGGTATTATGTAGGACGAGTGGAGTTTGAGGATTCTTTGACCTGCTTAATACTCATTCTGGGTTTCACCTTCAAAGCAAAAGAAAACCATAAAAAATTATATGAGGTCCACGAAAGGGATAAAATACTTGAAACTCATGAAGATTTTTCCATAGATATTATTGGGAAGTGAGCTCTTCACTCTTAGGAAACCTGCATAAAATCTTCGATCGGATATATTCAATGGACTTTGAACATTGAGACATTCACCAAAAGAGGATACTTCAGAAACGAGACAGGAAAGATGAAGAGTTTTACGAACAATTATGGACCGTCAGTCTTGCAAGACCTGAAGGTGGAGTTGGTGCCTGGACGACAGGTACTTCCGCAAGCTTATGATGTACTCCCGGCATCCCTCCACATAAAACTTTTGAAGGATCGTGAATGGAACGAGCGGAATCTTGAAGTCCAGCGAATTGACCCAAACCAATCGCGTCCTCATCGTGTTTTTTGGGTCTGGTGACAGTGAAATCCCTCCCCCTTCCTGCATCTCCGCCCTAATGCACCCGTCAAAGAAGACAAATTTCAATATGTCACTCTGATTACATATTGATATACCTTGTTTTCTAGATATATTGCTTGGTACAAAGATTTGCAACTCGCGCATGCAGCTGTGTCGTGTGTTTTAAATCCACCGAGTTGCTTCTCTTAGTATATGGAGCTCCTCATCCACCCGAAGGAAATCCATTCATGCCCAGGAATCAGTCAAGTATGTCATATTACTTTCGTTCATGGCAATTGAGTTTTGAAGATGAGTGCAGAAAAGGTTTGGCTAACTTCAAAGATTTTTAAGGATTGGTTCTTTTCTTCTTTTCCGGTTTCTTTTTTTCTTTGCTTCTAATTGTACTCAGTTTGGCCTCATGCGCGTAATCCTCAGTTTTAAGTACAGCCATCAAGGGAAACGTACTTCTTATGGGTACACTTTCCACCAGGGCGATACGGAAATTTCCGTAAATTTGGTTAGAAATAATGACAAAGAAAGACATTTCGAGCACTTCCGCGAACATTGGCTGATACTCCAGTAACATCCCTTGAAAATACCGTTTTCTTCCCTCTAAATAATCACTGAGCCCAGCGAAAGAATACTAAACATTCCAATGCTGTGGAAAAGATAAGGTAGTCGCCCCAATGAGCTCCAATGAGCCCCATGTCTGGCCTTATTCTGCTCCCGTCTCACACATTTCATATCACCATGTTTCATTCCCCTTCTTGCAAATACAATAATTCAAAGGAGAATCATGTGCATCTCTGCCCTAAATGGGACTCAGGATTCGGGACGATGTTCTCTTTCTCAGCCTGGAACTGCTGTTTATTTGCCATTCCCGTAGGTGTTATTGTAAAATTGAAGATTTTGTTATCCGTCTGTCACATTTTTTCTTTCTAAGAGTTCGCAGTAAATGTCCTATAGGAAACCTATAGTTATTTCTTATAGGAAATCTATAGACTTTCCTATAGGTCTTTAAAGCACGAAGCACCTATAGGATCCTTTAGAATCCCTACAGGGTCTTATAGGTCTCCTGACCTATAGGATTCA